CAAAACCCCAAAACCCCAAAACCCCACAAGAGTTGTATTTTGATATAATGGGGCTTTGATATATCTTATAATAAATTACTAAAATTTTTATTATTTTAACATGGAAGAGGAAGTGAATCACATAGTATTTGCACTAAGGAGATCTTTTCTAATTGATCCAGTATAATTTTAGTTTTATTCTTAATAAATTCTTATATTTTATCATTTAGGATCTGAAATTTTATCAAAGGTATGAACCATCTAGAATAGACCTTGAAAGAATATAGAAGAAGTAGGATCGTCTGTATTTGATGCATTTAAATAATGTCCTGAGCTATAACATTAAACTTACAGAGGTTTTCAGACAAAAATTTTAACTTTTGCACAGGCCTCAAGCAGACACCTTAATCAAGTTATTGACAAAAGCTCATAAGCTATTTTTACAGTTTGAGAAAGAAGCAAGATCATATATGATGTTTTCTTTTGGAGACTCAGAAACTAGTTAAAAGGCTTTAAATGTCGCTCCCTAATAATCAGGCTCAAATGTGTCTCTTAATCAAGGAAGTCTAAAATTCTAATAGAATAATAGGTGCAGCTCTTCTAATAATAATAATTTTGACTTGGGAAATGTATACTAAAATGACAATGAGTATAATTCATTAAGGAGCAGTGGCAAAGCTATTTTGATTAAACAGAATAAGTCAAAGGAAAAGAAAAATTCAAAGATTCATAATTAAATCAAAAATAATCATCATCATAATAAACAAGGCAGTTTTATTTCAAGCACATATAGGAAATCTAAAATAGCTAAAAATTAATTTCAGTTTTTTTAAACTCCTTGAAATGACAGCATCTCAATAGCTTAGCCTATTAAATAAGAACGAACTAACTCTTAATCTTCATTAAGATTCTAGTTTATCAATCAAGCTATTTAAGGGATGGTAGGCTCTGAAAGTAATTAAAGTTTGAATAATCCAGTAATTATCCAAATCATTAGTGAAAAAAATCATGATAGCACTCTCTAATTAGATTCTATTCTAGCAAATGACCTTGTAATGATGAGATCAACTTTATCATTATCCTAATAGGACAATCTTTTGAAGTCCCCTAAATAGGTATAAACACAAAAATAAAGGTCAAAATCTTTTGAGTTAAATTCCCAATAATATTAATAAACAATTAGGAGAAATATGGAGACTCGGCTGTCTGGCTACGAGTATAGAAACTCCCCCAGATCTAGTGTTTCTTACTGTTCAATAGACTCCTATATAAATTTCTAAAAAAGTTGCAACAAAATTTAAGATAAAGATAAGGTGTAATCTCATAAAAGACAAGTTAGAGGCAGGCTTTAATTTTCAATTTTCAACTCATCTGATTTCTATGACTCTTATTGAAAGAGAATGCTGCTAATAAAAGCAATTATGGGGTTAAAGATAAACTTAATAAAACAAAAGACAAAAAATAAGATAGACAAGCCATCTATTAAATATTATAGACCTTTTTACATGGTAGGCTTGATCAAATCTTAATTCAAGAAGTTCAATGCATTAAGGCAGCAATAGATAAATATCCTAAAATCTTAGCATGATCCTATATTTCATTAGAAGAAACTAAAAATAATCCATTAATCACTGAGTGTATATTACAATAAACTCTATAAATCAAACTAACCAAACTAACCCTATTTTCTCAAGAGTTCTCATTACATTGATTCTCGTGAGAGATTCAATGTGCTATTTGATCATAGCTATAAAATAAAGAGACTATACTTTGAAAAATTGAGAAAGTTTTAAATTACTAATAGGAAGAGAAGCTATATCAACTTCCTTGCGATGTAAAAATAACTCCGCAAGTATATGAGGATAAGCATCTTGCATTGGGTAAACATTTTGAAGTTTAGGCAAAACAGAGTTAAGAAATTAGTAAATCTCTTAAAAGCGGTGCTTTTAAAAGCAAATGAGGAGCCTTTTTCGAGATTTAAGTACCTTAGGGAAAACAATAAGTTTTACTCTAACTTTGTGATTGAAAGAGAGACTTTTTACTATAACTTGCAGGATCATGATTTTCATATTTAAAACAGGAATATAGAAAAAGCCATGGAGCATTAAAACAAAGAGGAGCCAAATAAGATTTAGTTTCTAAACTTACCCAGTCAAATATACCATTAACCTCTATTATTGACAGAACCAAGTTAGCAAACATAACTATAGACTAGTGTCAACTTCACATTAAGCTCAGTAGACAATTTCCAAAATACTCAGTATTCATTATCAACTTCAAAAAAGTCAGTAAATTCAAAGAGGTCCTTGAAAATTCTAAAAAGACCAATTGGGGAATCTTAGAATGAACTTAAAAATTATTTGAATATAGATGTTTCAGATACAGAGGATAACTAGATCTCAAGGTTTAACGCAAAAATTACATCAAGTAAGGTATCACATAAGATTTAAACATTTCTACTACCGTCTCCTATCTCAGTGTCAAGAAATATGCTAAGCCCCATTTCTCATGCTAATTCAACTATTCTGTCTAACCAAAAAGTTAAAAATTTGATATCACCTCAAAATAAGAGCCCCATATCATTAGCAACCTCCAGAATAATTAACTCCACCAAGAAAGTAAGCACTCCTTTATCAGCAAAATCAGTGACGAATTCGCTGAATAGCAAGACCCCAAAGATAAACAACCTTAAGAGTAAGACATATATTGAAAAGAGAAGAATAGACTTAAATGATAAGGTTAAAAAGTAAGTAGCCCATAATTAGATCATGGTTAGATAAAGTCTTAATGCAACTAATTCTCAGCAAAAGACGAGTCCTGAGCAATAAAAAAGACAGAGTATTGGTGGTTCAGATTCCGCAGATGAGAAATTTAAATTTGCTTTGTTTAAAGCCCTCCGTCAACAGAGTTCCTCTATCCATAGTAAACCCTATTGATTCTGGAATGTACTAGAGCCATTGCACACATGAAACAAGGCTCAACATCAATAATAAGATATAAATCCTTCATAAAGTATTACAAGTTTAAATCTATCTTAATTTAATCGTCTTTCCCTTGTTTAACTATATCCCCATTTTTAATTTCTTCTTCATTCTAATTGGAAAATCTTTTTTGTCCACACTTTTGAATGTCTAAATCATCAGTCTATTATTTTTATTCTTCTTATTTTTGTTCCTTAGTATGTTTATCCCCAAGAAATTATGCAAGTCTCATTACTGGGTGATCAATCGGGTTATAGCTACAATCGATTCTATCAATCTTAAGTATTATCTCAAGTTTATTATTTAAAAGCAGACACATCCCCTACTAGCAGCTTAAACACTCCAAATCATGACTTTAAATTTTTATATTTTGACTATATAGATCAGATATCATCCTTATTTAATCATTTGTATGCTTAATGAAAGTAAAGTTAGGGGGTTAAGTGTTGAAATTAAGTGGCCATAAATCTTTATATCTTTCAAATTAACTCTTTATATATATCTGTCTATTAGGCAGCTAAACATTGAGGAATATTTCATTAAACTAATCCTATACACCAATGATTTCTATTATTTTATTGATCCCTTCTTTACTAATCTTTCCATATTGATATTAACTAGTAAACAATATATCAAGTTAGTTTTAATCCTTATCAGATTTCCTGATTCTCTTAATGTGGGTCAAGTCTAGCACTATACTTTGTGGAATTTATCTGAATTTCCCATATGTTATAGCATCCTAATCAGTAATCTAGTTGTCATAAATTTCAGCATCTTCTTAACTTATTGGGATAGCATTTAAGGGATAATTTTGAGTTAGAAATTTGATAATAGTCTATGTTTTTAGCTTGTTGACTTTGAAGTATACACAATTCACAAGTTGTATGGCTGAATCTTTGAGGTTATCTGGTAATAATTAGAATATTTAGTAATTTTACTAATTTAGACTTTCCATTAATATATTAATATGTATGGAAGCATATATTTTGAAAATAAATTACTAAACTATTGCATAATATTAATATTAAATTGAAATGGAATCATTAACAGAAGAAGAAAAAAGACGCAGAAGAGCAGAGAAATTTGGCACGCTTAATTAAGAGATGGAAGAGGTTCAAGAATAGCCAAAGGTATAATATTATAGCTTTGATATTTCAGGGCCAGAGTTACCATCACAAGACATCAAATCTATTTGAAGAAAAAAGTGGCTAAACAGTGGATGAAATTGAGCAAGAAATTCAAAAGTTGGAGCAACGAAAGTTGAAATTTGAGGGAAAGTTGACTGAAGAGGCTGAAAAAAGGCTTGAAAAACTGCAAAGAAAGCTCGACTTCGCTAGACATAAGGACGCTCCTAAGCCAATTGAGTAAGAGGCAGTAATAAGTGAAGATGCTATATATTTATATGGAGTAGACTACATGAGCACTGATGATATCAAGAAGTACTTCTCAAAGTTCGGTGAAAGTTAGGATGTCATCTGGATCAATGATTCTTCTTGCAGAGTTAAATTTGAATCATCAGATATTGCTAGAAGGGCTTATACCGCCAGTTAGTTGTCCTCAAACAGTGAGCAGCATTCAAAACTCAACATCGGAGAAGCTATGGTTGAGTAGGTTGAAGGAGTTGATCCCAGAAACTTTGATAGAGAGATTGGGTGGAAAGAGGCATTTGGCTTCACTTTGAGGAATAATGGGAGATTGCAAAGATTGTGGATAAGATATGCAACTGACAAAGACTTTAAAAGTGAGTAAACCAAGGGAGAGAATAGCAGGTACTATAACATTTAAAAGAAAAGAAGAGATCAAAAGATGAGATCGAATGGGTATCATTAAGGAACAGATTAAGGAAGGAACCACAGATCTGATAATAGTAGTTTCATTAAGAAAGCTATAGGGAAATAGGAGAAATTCCAGGGCAATCTGAGAGATAGGTTAAGAGGAGATAAAGATAAGGGAGATGATGATGATTGGATCGGAGGTCCCCTTGTATTAAATAATTAGGAAGTAAATTAGATTCAAACACAAAATAAATAAGATATACTTAACCCAGAGCCAGAAGGATTCTGAGAGCATTTAACAATAACTAATTAATTAATTGAAAATCACAATAGATCATCAATACTATGCCAGGGGTTTTGGGGTTTTGGGGAGATCGGAAGA